TTTACATGGTAATGTAATGAAATAATTAAAAAAAAAATTATCAAGAAAAAAATTTATATAAAATTTTTTCTTTGAGTTTGGATCATTTTTTATTATTATTATTTTCGTTTTAGATTTGAGGATTTGAATTACTTGAGTATTTGTTTGTTTGCTTTTTTTTTTTTTTTGAAAGAAAACTATTTAAAATATTATAAAAGGTATGTAACAGTGTGTAATAGGCCATTATGATCATTACGGTCATTACGTAATACTGAAACGGTCATTACACATATGAATTTCCGTCACATCACAAAAATGAGTGTTACAAGTAATGTCTACCATCACAACCGCTATGTAACACCACTTTTTAAAATCCTATCTCGATTAATTCCTTTCCAATCCGATCAAAAATAAGTCATTAACATAAAAATAAAAAAAAAAAATTCATAAAAAATTACTTTTTTTTTTTTGTTACAGGGAAATCTTCCCACCCTCCCGCAGGTCCAAGGCAGTGCCCCATGAGGAGATCACCAGGGTGTCGGCAGTGCCCCATGAGGAGATCACCAGGGTGTCCTGTTGTCCATTCCGAGTAAGAGACTATAAGCTGGAAGCTTGTCCCGACCTCCCAAGGTAAGTTTCGATTAAGTCAGGACTCGCACAGCGGGGGAGCATTAAACACACCAAGTAGCTGATTAGACATCCTTGAGGTCCAACCTCCTAACCAACAGACTATAACCTGGAAACTTGTCCCGACCTCCCAAGGCAAGTTTCGATTAAGTCAGGACTCGCACAGCGGGGGAACATTAAACACACACCAAGTAACTGATTAGACATCCTTGAGGTCCAACCTCCTAACCAACAGTGTTTCGCCCAAGAAATTGGCCCAAAAAGAGAATTGAACTTGGGACCTTGGGGCTTAAACCCCAAGGCCTTACCACAATGCCACAACCCCTTGGGTTATAAAAAATTACTTTCTTACACCTGACCTTAAAATTAAATCTTAAATAATTGTACAGAAAACACACTCACCAACCACTCAGATAACCCCGATAGATCCCAAGCAAAACTATAATTGAGAAGGAAAAAAGATTCGGACCCCCTTGAGGGGGTCACCCCCACAACCCCCTTTGCTTTTGATTGGTTCATATTTTTTATTTTTTTTTTCTTTTCTCTTCTCACCTAATCACCAACCCCGTGTGTGTTGGGGTAAGGGGGTCCAATCAAAGCTCAATTGAGAAGAAAGGTAGTTGTCATGTGGCATGTTCTTCGACCCAGAAAAGACTTTCTGGTCAGCCGAACCATGATGGTATTCGAGCAAGGCATTCCCACTTCCAAAGGACTGAAAACTTGTGAGTATATGTACTTGAGAAGTTCTAGTCAATCAAGTAGCAAGGAGTACAATGTGGTTTTTTTTAGATTGAGCAAGGAGAATAATGTTAATGTTGAGTTTGAGTTTTATCGTTATTAAATAATTTTTTTTATTATAAAAAATAAAATTTAAGACTTTGTAAAATGAAAATTTATTTTTTATCGATTTATGAAAATGACAAGTTAAATGATCAATTGATTAAAAATTTTAGATTTATTTTTCACTTCCGTCTAATATAAGAGGATCTAAAAAGTAAAAAACTAAATACTAAAAATAAGTTTTAAAAAATCAACTTTTGATTTTCTTTTCTTTTCTTTAGCAGACTTTTTCAATTTTTTTCTTTTATTTTTTTAATTATGTCTAATCTAGTAACACTCAAAAGTATAAAGCTTTTTAATTTTATAAAAATCATTGAAAGGAAAAAAGGGAAATATCAAAAAAAGAAATGAAAAGTTCAAAAAATAATTACAAACTCATAAAAATATAAATAATTTATGCATTAAATTGTGCAAATGAGTATTGTATTTTCATGAATTTATAAAAAAAAATGTTCTCATTTTTTTTGATATTTTTAAATAAAAAAATACTAATAAAACAATTGTCAAATTCCACCACAAAATGATAGGCTCTGTTTGGCAGAGTTTTTGAAGTTTAATTCTGTCCCTTAGTTGGAGTGTGTTGTTTGGTTATAATTTTAAAAAATTAATTCTACATCTACTTTTTAAAACACTCAATTTTCAATATCATATGTAATATCACTCAATTTAAATTCTTTTTAAAATTCATAATCAAATAACTTTTCAACACTCAAATCATAATTTTAAAATTCATAAATTTAAAATATAACTCTATTCTTAAATCATAATTCTAAAACTCTACCAAACGCAATCATATTTTTTTTTTTTTTTTTTTTTTTTTTTATTTGAAATGGCGTTTCTACTACCAACCAAAGCCAACCCACACAATGACACACACACCAATGGCCACACCCACAACACTCAAGCATTGAAATAATATAATTTTTATATATAATAATAATTTATAATAATTAATTATATAATTTTTATAATTCCCTACTTTTTCTACTTTTTTTTTTTCTTTCTTTTTCTTTTTTTTTTTCTCGGGATAAGTAGTTGGAACTTGGGTTGCGAATCCAGTTGGCCTTTGGGAACAGATTTTTTTAAGTAATTTTTTAATTTTTTGATTAAAATATGATGTAAAAAAAATTAATATGTTTAGAATGATTTTTTAATTTTTTACGAAAAAATTTTTGATATGGGTTATTGACTTTTTAATTTTTTTTAGTGACTTTTTTATTTTTTGATTAAAAAAATCACTTACCAAACGAGGCTTAATGTCAACTGCTGGAATAGAAAATTAAATAAATAAATAAATAATAAAACTCAAAAACTAGCACTTGTTTGTTAATATTTATATGTTGATGAATGCTCATGTGAAAGCATTTAGAAGGGGAGTTACTATTTTTTTCCTCTTATTTTTGGGATTCTAATACAATGAATAGTCAATCAAAAAATATATGTATATATACACACACAATAAATCGATTGGTCTTGCATGATAAATATGCCAGAATTCATTAATGTAAATACATTTGAACAAGAAGATTAGACAATGTTTTAAGTAGGAAGTCATTAATGGAGGACTATTAGGCGAAAAATGACTCATCTATTACATGATTATTAAATTATAATCAAGGGCGGGCGGCTACATCAATTTTGTATCAAATTTCGATTTAAAAATTGGATGATGATTGAGACCCCCTCCAATCACTACCCTCATTACCTCCACACACACATGGCGGTTGGTGATTGGAGGAGAAGGAAGAAAAGAAAAACAAAAAAGAAAAAGTGGCCAATCAGGTGAAGAGGGGGTCAAGGGAGTGGGTAAAAAAGGGAGTCTAAGTCATTATTCTTAAAAATTAGTGCCTTTTTAGATAAACTAGCATGGACTTCTTATCACACGTCTACTTTTAGGGTAAATTTTACTTTGCTCCCCTAAAGTTTTACCTATTTCTCACTTCGGTCTTTTAAGTTTGATTTTTCTCACTTTGACTCTTTATGGTTATAATATTTTCCACTTTAGTCTTTCATGTTTGCAATCCTTCTCACTTTGGCCCTTTAAGTTTGATTTTTCTCACTTTAGCCCTTCATATTTATAATCCTTCTTACTTTGACCCTTTATGTTTGCAATCTTTCTCACTTTACTCCTAAACTAACTTCCATCCAAAAAAGTAATAGAATTTGTCACATCACAAACACATCAGCTCCATATGTGACTAAAAAATTCACTAAATATGCAAAAAATAAAAAAAAAATTATATTTTTTTAGTCTTTTGTAGACTTTTTTTTCAAATTTATTCATAAACATTATTACATTATAAATGCATCTAGATTAGATGCAGCTAAAAAAATAAAAACAAATTTAACTGAAAAAAGAAAAAAGTTCACTAAAGACGAAACAAAAACGATAGTAAATTTTTCATTTCAGAATTGACAATACAGGTGTTTGAGTCAATATATATTTATTTTTTTTTTGTCTTTAGTAAACTTTTTTTTTATTTTTTTAGTTTAATTTGTTTTTATTTTTTTAAGTTGCATCTAATCTAGATGCATCTATAATGTAATAATGTTTATAAATAAATTTTTAAAAAAAAGTTCAATTTAAAAAAAAAAAAAATTCCAATTTTTTTGTTTTCTATTTTTTATTTTTTGCATCTTTAGTGAATTTTTTACATTACACATGGAGCTAATGTGTTAGTGATGTGACAGATTCTGTTATTTTTTTTTTTATGAAAGTTAGTCTAGGAATAAAGTGAGAAATATTGCAAATATAAAGGGTCAAAGTGGGATGGATTGCAAATATGAAGGGCTAAAGTGGGAAAAATTACACTTAAAGGGCCAAAGTGGAAAGGATTGTAAATATGAAGGGCCAAAGTGAGAAAAATTAAACTTACAAGGCCAAAGTGGAAAATGGGCGAAACTTTAGGAGGCAAAGTGTAATTTACCCCTACTTTTATTACCGTACGGAAAAGCCTATGGTGTGCTTTAAGGGGGATGCATACCATATGCACTTTATCATAAATTAGCATAATGTTATCATAAAATTTCATAATATCAATTATAAAATGTGTAATCTCACCATAAATTAGTGTAACAAAATATTTAAAATTTTGTCGTTAATGTTATAAAAGTTTATGACTTAGATTATGATGTTTTTTATTACGTTAATTTGTGACGATATTACACATTTTATGATTAATGTTACAAAATTTGTGATAAGGAAGTACACACCATAAGCTTTCCCATTAGGTAATTCTACTTAACTAAATTTTTAGATTTTGTTTAGAGATTAAAATTGTGAAAAATAAAAAAATATACAAAAAAAAAATATAATCTAATTTTTATCACTCCCTTTTTTTATTTTTACTTAAAAAATTTACGAACTAAACACCGCCTTAAAATATTCATTTATGTAGTAAGGTCCAATAATAATAAGCCCAATTGCAAATTCTACTAGATTTCTTAGTTGCATATTCGCAAAGGGTGTTTTTGTCAATTTGCTAGTCCAAACGCCAATATTGTCAAAAATACTAAACAGGAAAATTAAGGGTATTTTCGTAATTGAACATTAGCTCAAATTGCCTTCAAATGAATCCAGCTTGCTGGTTCTTCACTGCTCAAAGCCTCGAGCTTTTTTGTGTTCGTTACGCAACTCAACCCAAAAACAACCAGAGCCATAGAGAGAACCAAGAAATTGCGTCTTTGTGGATAGAGAAACAATCGATCTGGTAAGCTCTTCAATGCTTGTTTCGAATGTCTCTCTCACCTGAGTTTTTTCTTTGCATTTTTAAATTTGTTTTTTTGACCATTTCGCTTTCTTGTTTTCTCACTAGTTTTCATTTCTTATATTTTTTTAAATCCGTGAGTTGTGATACCATTGACCGTTCTGAACATGGAGAGATTGTTATTTAATCAAATGGTAAATGGGTATTTGTTTAATTCCAATTTATGAGTCAAAACAATTGTGGGTTCTGCTTTCTGACACCATAAATTTGCTTTAAGAATCTGTTTTAAGTTTATCAAAGCTGTTACGATGAGAAGAAGCAGAATCGTTTCATGTCAAAAGCTTTAAATTGCTCTGCTTTTCTTGTGTTTTTGGTGTTGGTTTGTGTTCATGTATGAATAGCAGAATCGTTTCATGTCAAAAGCTTTAAATTGCTCTGCTTTTCTTGTGTTTTTGGTGTTAGTTTGTGTTCATGTATGAATTAATTTCCAGTTTCCTTTCTGGGTTTTATCTGATTATATATGTGTCATGGAAAGTTGGTTGATTTGTTTTTTATGTTTTCAGTCAAAAGGAAACTAGAGGATTTTCTAGGAAAATTTAATAGAATTTTTCTTGACCATGCTTAAAGTCGTTGCTGTCATTTCCTTCCCCATCAATTATTAACCAACTGCAATCGGTGTGATCTGTTCTTAGGAATTGGTCTGGAATTATTGATTATCTTTGTTATAGAGTTGAAATTGTTATTTAAATTAATTAAATTGAACTTGTCCCACACTCAATTCCAATGAATATATATATATTTCTTATTGATTAATGACAAATTAATAGTTAGTAAATATCTTGTTTGAATGAGTACAATCTAAGCTTAAAATCAGTGGTTTCTTTTCTATCACATCTCATTGTCATTCCCAAATTTTTTTTTGCTCCTTTCTATTCTCTTCAGGTTGTTCTCTCTTGGATCTACAATCGAAAATTTAACACTTTCTTCTTTTGTTTCTGCTTCAGAGTTCAAATCCATAGATGGGTTCAATCTTAGAAGGAAGACAAGAGGGAAATTATAGCAAACCCCTTGGAATTCGATTCATAGAGTACATAAAGAAATCCACTCTCTCTTTCAATGCCCACCAAGCCATTGTCCTCATAGTCACATTCTTAGCATACACAAGCTACCACGCCGCTCGAAAAACCACAAGCATTGTGAAAAGTGCTCTTGATCCCGAATCCTCAGATTTTAGCTCGAACCTTTTCCCATTGGAAACAGCTAATTTTCACAATCCGATTGAAAGGGAAACAAATTCATGGGTTCTTGGAAGTGGTTGGGCCCCTTTCAATGGATCAGACGGGACCGCCTTGCTTGGCGATCTCGATGTGGCTTTCCTTTCAGTTTATGCTTTTGGAATGTACTTTTCCGGGCATTTGGGTGATCGAAACAACCTGCGAATTTTTTTGACAGTAGGTATGGTGGGAACCGGTTTGTTCACTTCGCTCTTTGGAGTGGGGTATTGGGCTAATATCCATGTTTTTTACTACTTTTTGATCGTCCAAATGCTTGCCGGTTTGTTCCAATCAACCGGGTGGCCTTCTGTGGTGGCAGTTGTTGGAAATTGGTTTGGGAAGAAGAAGAGAGGGCTTATTATGGGTGTTTGGAACGCTCACACATCGGTTGGGAACATAACCGGTTCTTTGGTTGCTTCAGCTTTATTGAAATATGGGTGGGGATGGTCCATAGTTGTGCCCGGTCTCATGATTGCTTTCTTTGGCATGGTGGTTTTGCTGTTTTTGCCAGTTAGTCCGGAGTCTGTCGGAGCTAATGCAGATGATGACGATGTGGTCTCTCCCAAAAAAACAGGAGATGGAGTGACAGAACCACTGTTGGAATCAGAGACAATTGAGAGGGAGAAAGCCGTGGGGTTCATTGAAGCGTGGAAGATTCCTGGCGTTGCTCCTTTCGCTCTTTGCCTCTTTTTCGCCAAATTGGTTGCTTATACATTTTTGTATTGGCTTCCATTCTACATTAGCCACACAAGTACACTACTCATCCCCCATTTTGGCATTGTGTCTCTTCAATTATACCCCATTAGTTCATTTTATAAATGATTAATGCTCTGTTTGTTTGTTTTGGCAGAAAACTACTTTCAAAAAATATTTTTCACAGAAAATGCTTTGTTAAGTTTGGTTGCGACCTTGAAACTAATGTGCTAATGGTTATATTAGTGATGGTTTGGTGGTGTTGTTCGGGTGATAGAGGTATTAGTGGTTGAACAAGCAAAATAGGGTGGTGTTGGTGGGGTGGTAGAGGTGGTGGTGATGGGGGGGTGGCATTGGTAGGTACATCAGTTCGGAAACTTCATTTTTTCACCTTTCAAATGTAAAAAACATTTTGCATCCAAACAAACTTTTTTTTTTTATTTCATTTTGCTTCACTGCAGAAAACAAAAAAAAAAAAGCAGAAAAGAGTTTTCGCCGAAACAAATCAGCTTTCATTTTCGTGAACTTGTTGAATATATTTATGACTTATGAAATGTGTCCTCATTTCCTTTTGTTGTGTTCATCACAATGCAGCCATTGATGGGAAGTACTTATCGAGTGAGGCAGCCGGAAACTTATCCACCTTATTTGACGTCGGAGGTGTGGTTGGAGGAATCCTAGCCGGCCACATTTCTGACCGCCTAGATGCCCGAGCCATAACCGCCGCAAGCTTCATGTACTGTACAATCCCGGCTCTCTTCTTGTACAGAATCTATGGAAGCATTTCTCTTCCTGTGAACATCATTCTTTTGCTAATCGCTGGCATGTTTGTGAACGGTCCTTACGCTCTCATAACAACAGCAGTTTCAGCCGATTTGGGGACACACAGCTCACTTAAAGGCAATTCACGTGCGCTTGCGACTGTGACGGCAATAATAGATGGAACGGGCTCAATTGGAGCTGCCATTGGACCGTTGCTAACAGGTTACATTTCTGAAACGAGCTGGAATGCGGTTTTCACTATGTTGATGGCGGCAGCTCTAGTGGCTGGCCTGCTTCTGACTCAGCTTGTGGTGGCGGAGGTGGCTGCGAAGATTGAGCTGTCGAGGTCACACGGTGCAGTTGCACTTGAAGTGTGATTTCTTTCAGGCAAGTAAAAGGGGTTCGTTAACATGTGTGTGACGATCCAGAGACTGTGTTTGGATCTTGGATTTGGAAAGGGATTTGATTTCAAGCATGGTTCGCCAATTTGGGTCTTTCGGTGATTGACTCAAGATTGAAGATCTGTTTGGTCTATACAGAAATACATATTTGTCATGTACTATTTTTTTTATCCTTCATGATATGTAGATCTTTTGTTACTTGAATCAGATGGAACATCGAAAAGGATAGCTCATTTGGAGATTGGTCATTGTTTCTGGTGTCTTCAAGTTTGAGAGAATTGTTGGGAAATGGTTTGTGTGTTTGCCCAATTCTGGGTTTGATTATAATTGGGATGGAACAGATGTTATACATTGATTCTTCATAAATAACCTTCCAAGATGAGGGTTTTTTTAATTTTATTTTATGAGTAGTCCTTCAAGGTATGGTCACTTTAGACCTAACCGGTAAACACCAGATACTTGCAAGTTGCAATCATCCGCAGGCACACAGGTATTTGGTAAGCAGGGGTGTTGTAAAACGAACCAAATTACTCGAATTTCACTCATGTTCTATTCATTACGTTAAGCATATTTTAGTTTAGAATATGAATAACCTATGATCTAGGTCAAGATTTTAAGAATTTTTATATTTTTAGTTTTAATATTTTTGATATATTATTTATTAATTTTATTATATTAGAATTAGATTTTGATTATGATTTTAAATAGTTTAAAATTTTAGTTTCATATTCTTTTAGGTTTCTTAATTTGTGTTGATTTAAGCTTTCTAGTTTATTTTAAAATTACTTTTCCTACAAGCGTTAGATTTAATTTTTTATAAATAGCTATGTAAGCCTCATAGTAAAGACAATTTTTATTCATTCAATCAATAATATTAAGATTTTTTTTTTTCCTTGTGAATTCAAGGTTCTATTTTTCTCGTGGATTCAAGAGTTCCTTTCGTCTACTATAACGATATCTAGTCCCCGTGTATTCTGCTGCGTCAAGTGGTATCAGAGCAAGGTTTCTCCTGGCTCGATGTCATTCATCAAAAGAGGAAACACAAGCTCTATTGACGATGATCGTAGAGAAAGATCTAATAGGATTCGAGTCAAGGGACTTGCCCAAGGCCAATCTGTTAGTCACAACGTTAATAAGAACCACGTTATGGGATTTGCCCAAGGCCAACCTATTAACCACAATGTCTTGAGACGATCTTCTTGTTATCAATACGATAGTGAGGACAAATCTGAAAATGAGTTATTTGGGAATTATAGTAAATACCAGTCGGTAAGACGACAACGAAGATTCAGTGATTTGTTCAATAGCAATAATTGCATCAATCATGACTTTTCAGATTATCAAATACTACTTGAAATTTCCTATTTTAATGCTTCTTGTCATGCCGAGGATTTTATTTATTGGTTTCGAAAAGTTGACAAATTCCTTGAGTGTATGGAAATCTCTGAAGAAAAGCAAGTCAAATATGTCGCACGTAAGTTACAAGGTTATGTTTTTACATGGTGGAAACAATTGCAGTATGATCGAAGGCGACAATACAAACAACCTATTAGAACGTGGCATAAGATGAAGTAGTTGATGAGTTCTAGATTCCTTCAATCAAATCATGGGCAAATGTTGTATCAACAATATCAAAGAAAGCTTGAATCGAAACAATTGTTCCAAGGTAATTCTGATTCACAATATTCGTCGCAACTCAATAAGTATTATGCAATTGTGGGTATAGGTTATTCGAGAAACATGATTATAGCTCTGCCAAGTTTGGGTCAATCAAGTCTTGTAGGTCAACCAATTTGTCACACTCCACCACACATTGAGAAGAAAAGATTTTGAGCATCTCAATGTTTAAAAATTTTGAAGACCCAAATAGATATTCAATTGAAGTAGAAAATCAAGTTGATTTCAACAACGGTGAGAACATTGAAATTGATGAAAGAGAGGTCATTGAAATTACTTTGATCAAGAAATTTGAAGAAGACAATGAAGAGGTGAAGCAAGAGAAAAACGTTGAAGTTAGCCAAGAGCTTCTAGTGACGGAACTATCATCTCTTGATTATTATGATGATTATGAGATCGCAAAAGAAGGAGATCTAGTTGAACTCAATGAAAAAGAAGAAATAAAAGATGAGGTAATAAAGTTGATATGTGCATCAGAGAAGTTGATTGATGATGCAATTGATATTCGAAAGATGATAATTGAATGTCCAACTGAATCCAAGACAGAGCAAAGTCTAGAGAGTAGCAAACATCAACATAAAATACCCTTCATTGATTTTCTTGGTGTTGAGAAATTTAATTTGATTTTCAATACTTGTTTAATTAATCTTGTCAACCAGTTGAAGCATATAGAAGAGAATTTTCATAAAGAAAGCTTTTCTACATACAACTTTTGGAAAAGGGGCTAGCAACTGAAATATTCAAAATATCTTTTTATTTGGCAAGGAAGATGGCAGATCTCTAATATGAACTCGAGAACAAGTTCTTTCAAAGAAGAGGTGTTTGATGTAGGATAAGATTTTAAGAATTTTTATATTTTTAGTTTTAATATTTTTGATATATTATTTATTAACTTTATTATTTTAGAATTAGATTTTGATTAGGATTTTAAATAGTTTAGAATTTGAGTTTCCTATTCTCTTAGGTTTTCTAATTTGTGTTGATTTAAGTTTTCTAATTTATTTTAGAATTACTTTCCTACAAACATTAGATTTAGTTTATTATAAATAGCTATGTAAGCCTCATAGCAAAGACAACTTTTATTCATTCAATCAATAATATTAAGATATTTTCTCTTCCTTGTGAATTCAATGTTCTATTTTTCTCGTAAATTCGAGAGCCCCTTTCGTCTACTATAACGATATCTAGTCCCGTGTATTCCGCTGCATCAACTTAACACTCAACTCAATAAGTTCATATGTAGTTACGCATTATAAAAATTCATGCTACTCAAGTTTTGCTTGTTACCAGCTCAATTTGTTTGAGATTGACTCAAAAAGTAAGCAAATTAAAGTTGAACTTGTTAAATTTTCAAACCAAGCTCGAAGACAAGCCTATTTTTGTTTGAAAGAAATTCTCTTCGTGTTTAAGCCGATGCCATGCCTTACATTCTAATTACTATCAAAGTCAACTCGACTTAACTCATTTACCGTCTTTTACATCATTTGTGTCAACAACAATGATAAAAAACTCTAATTTTAGAGTTCTAATAAGCCTGGTGGAGAGGTTATGTGGAACAGAGATGACAGAACCACATCAACAGAAATCAATGTGAATGGAGTGTTACAATGAGAATGCGATGCCGAGGCACAGGTGAATTGGGACCCAAGAAGAGTGGAAAACAAAATCAAAGATTATAAATGGGAAGCAACCAAACTATCACTTTCTTGAAAGAGAAAACTTAATGAAGCCCCTCACTCATTGACACCTGTAAAATGAAGGTGAAACCGGTGAATTCTGTCCAAACAAACATGCGGTTGAGAAAATGAAATGAAAAGAAACCAAATGAAATGAAAGTGACTGGTCATTAAAAAAAGGTAACAAGAAAAGAAATGCAGAGAACGTCCTTTTGCATTAATAGTTCCTAAATCAGGATTCGTTTGGAAAGCGATCCATTTAGTTAAAAAATAAAAAAATTAAAAAAATATTAAAAAAATTAAAAAATTAATAATACATACCAAAAAGTTAAAGATTTTCTTTTCTCTCTATTTTTTGCACATCTTTTTATAAAAAGTCAAAAAGTCATCCCAAACATACTAATTTTTTTTAACTCATATTTTAACCAAATAACCAAAAAATTACTAAATTAACTTGTTCCCAAGCAAGGCCTCATGGTTAATTTCCACCATGTGTGCTTGCTCACTAATAAATAACCAACAAATTAACAATAAGGCATTAAAAAAATAAAAGTAATATTAGATATTATGAAAGAAAATACGAAAAGTTTCATAAAAATTCTTAACTCTTAAATTAGTCGTTATATGTTATATAATCACATACATTAGATCATCTCCAATGATTATTCAAATCTTTCATCAAATTTGAATTTGATAAAAAAAAATGAGTTCTTTTCTTACTCTAACGGTTGCATCAAATAGGTATCAAATTGATTATTTCACTTTTTTTTCATCGAACTGAGGACAAATGTGTCTTTCATCAAATTATTGTTCATTGTCATTACCGGATGTCCCCCAGATATTCTCCCAAATGAACCACCTCAAGGTAAAAATTTGTGAAAAAATTGTATTGCCCGATCGACCGCTCGGTCGTCCGCCCAGTTAACCACCTCAAGGCAAAAAAAAGAAAATTACATTGGCCGAATATCTGCCCGGTCAACCGGTGTTCTGATGAAACTCCAAAGTCCTCCATTGGAGCACTTGATATCAAAAGAAGCTTTTACTCAAATTTGATGAAAAAATTGATACACCGATGAAGATGCTCTAATACTTTATTTCAGAAAATAGGTTAAAAGCTAACTTTTTGACCTTTTTTTAAAAAAACATTTAAAAAAATAGAGAGGTGTTATGATCCAAAACAAGTTAAAAGTCAAAAAATTATTTTTAACCTTTTGTCAAAAGATGATTGATATGTTGTAACTTAATGTATGTGATCACATAATATATAATAACTAATCCATGGGTGAAAAATCTTTATGATATTTCTTTTATGGTACCTACTATTACTCAAAAAATAATGTACGATCTAAATTCATTTTAAATATAACTTTAATAAACAAGAATTTAATTTGAATCATATATTTTTATTAAAAAATAAATTCTCAATATATTTTTTAGATAACTAGACTTGCTATGTTTTTTTAGAGGCAACAAGGTGGTGGGGAGTGAATTTAACTAAATTCATGTTGTGCTCAGATTTTTTATTTGTTGATGAAAAAAAAAACACCGAAGTTATATGTCATGTTTTAAAAACTAAATTTTTTTTTGATGTTTCTTAAAAGGGTTCTATTTTTAATAAAAACTTGGACACGGATTTTTTTTTTTTTTTGTAAGATAAAAATAGAAAATAAAAACACAATCAAACAAGTCATTATTATTATTATTATAAATTCAAAATCTAAACATGTTGACATGAGGTTTACACCAAGATTATATTTAGTTCATGTATTTGGATAAGAATTTAGAAAGACAAAGAAAAATATAAAATGTAAGTAAAATATTATTATATTCAGATTTTACTTACTTTTTTTTTTTTCTTTTCAAATTCTTAAACCAAACACATTTCAAGTGTTTGGTTATTGAGAAATTTAAAGTAATAATAATAATTTAACTAAATGCTGTCAACTTTCTCTATGAAAACGAAATGAGTTGATAATAACCCTAATTTAAAATATGTCGCA